CTAGACTGAAGAACAAAAGGACAGCAACTTGTCTGTTCCCCTTCCCCCAATTCCCCAGCACTGTTCCCATCCCCCCAATTCCCCAATAAAAAAATAAATAAATAAATTAAGTTCATTTTTTAAAGGTACTAAATTGAACTGGGGAGTTTCTTTTTTAAAGAGACTTTTAGTAGTGAATAGAATGGTTAGAAAGCATTCCACTCGTGTGCATATAAAATATAACATACATACATGAAAGGGCACTACACATCAATGTGCAGTTTAGTGAATAATTATAAAGGGAAAACACATGAAACCACAGCCACGTAAGAAATGCAACATTTCTAGCGCACGGAAGTCTCAGAGTCTTCTTCTTACTCACAACCCTTTCTTTGCTCTAAGAGGAGTAACCACCATGCTGATTTATCTTAGTATGACTTCCATGCTCTTCTTTACATCTTACCATCTCTAGATGCACCCCTAAACAACAGGGTTCAGTGTTGCCTGTTTATGAGGTTTCAATCAATGGACCCTTCCTCTGACTTTGTGTCTTGCTCCTTTGGCTCAGCACCATGTTTGTGACATTGATCCCTCTGCTGTTGCAAATGGCTCTACGTCCTACGTAGCCTTTCTATGCTGGGCGGACATTTGGGCTGCTTCCACTCTGGACTCTTAGGAGCAATGCTTCTATAAGAACTATGCACGTTCTTGTATAGATCCTGGTCCACAGGATATACCTCTCCGCCTACCTCTAGGGTGCTTGGCCCAGTGGCAATTCTTCAGCTGTGAAGAGGGTGTGTGAATCTTCAACCTCCACAGATAACGGCAACTATTTCCCAGAAATCATTGCTTCAACTGAAACTCCCACTCACAGTAGTTCCCATTATTCTCCATCCTCATTAGTGCTTGTTATTGTCAAACTTTAAAGTGTTAGCTGGTCAGGTGGGCGTGTAGTGTTATCTCATTAGGGGTAATTTGCGTTTCCCTGATTACTAATCACATGAAGCCCCTTTTACCAGTTATTGGCCATGTGAATTTCCTCTTATGCCTGTTCAGGTCTTTTGCCACCTTTCTACTGTCACATGTAAATTTTCTGTTAAAATAAATTTTATCAATCAAAATTGCATTGGACAGAAAATTGTGCCCACCTTCCAAGGTACCTCTGCCCACCTGAGAACTGTATCCAGTTACAGGCAAACCCTCTAAGATCTGTAAGCTTGGAAGTGATTGTTTTCTCACTATGACTCATTGAAAAGATAACAACAGAGGCTCAGAGCAAAATAGCCATACCCATTGAATCTTTTTTTTCCTTTACTCCATTTTTCAAATCTAACATTGTTTTATTGAATTTTGCTGCCCTGTTGTTTCCTTATATTTCCATAGAAAACAAACATACCCCTATATATCACAGCTGTTTGTTAAAATCACCAAGTGTAGACAAGGTCATTTATTATTCTGTTCTGTACTCCGTGCTGTGTGTTGAATGCGTTGTTATGAGTTAGCTAACTGTCAATAATAAAGGAATGCCTCTATTGCTTATACGACCTTTGCAGACAAGGGAATATTGAGTAAAATGGGTATATATGGCTATAATAGCTATACATATCTAATACAAAAGTAAACAGCTGACCCAAGCCTGAATTCTGGCTTTTGCTTACCTTATCTCCTTTAGACATTTGCGTATGAGCTCACTGGCAAAGAGTTAAAGCCCATATAATCTACCATTAAATAAATTATTCAGTAATCTGTGATGTCCTTGCAACATGAGAATCCCCTATTAAAAAAATAAATAGCTGCACTGCTTACGGAGGCATGTGCCTACTATTTATAGTTTTTATAGAGGCTGCTTTGCTAGTGAACCCAATTAGGACTCCCTGGTAATCTATAGGGCTGATGCTTATTGCAGGGTTTTTACACTAAGCCATTCATTACATGCACATGCGTGGGTGTGTCATGCGTACACACACCCTCAGAGCACCAGCAGAGAAAGCCCAAGCAGGTATAAGTCATTTGTTCGAGCTCTCTTGTTTTTTGCTTAATGTATTAAGACACTCAAAAAGGGACAAAGTGACTACAGGTGACCTGCAGCTTCAATGATATGTATTCCTAACTGTATCCAGGCCACTGGGTCTCTACTTTCTTCAAAGTAAATATTTTAGTCTTCTGCTAAAAATGTCAGATTTCCCATCCAGACAGATGGTCGCATGGGAGACTGAGCGTCCCCTCTTACCTTGCTATCCCCTGGCGTCCAAGTAGGATGGTCTGAAAGCTGGGGTGGGACCTGCGTTGCACAGAGTGGAGGAATCGAGGAGGCAGCTTAAATGAATTCTCGTTCTGGAAGGGCTGGAAAAGAAATAGCCGGGTGTCTATTTTTTATAGATTCGTTTTTTTATTAGAAAAATATTTTATGAATATAGAAACATATTTGGTATGTGGACAAAGCAATTCCCTTTATAACAGGCCCATGGAAGCCAGAATAGCCATTTAGCTACATTATTCATACTATAGCACATTCTATGTCATGTTAACTTTTGAGTTGACAGTTACTGAAAAGGTTTCAATATTGTACGTACATCAAGTCATGTCTCAAAAGCGGGCACTGACAGAATTCTCAGCATATTGAAAAAAGTGCGGGCTGATGAGTGAGATGGAATTGTGTGAAATCATATGTAAAATTTTTCCAACACTTCATACAGTTGTTCCATGGTAAATAAGCTTCCGAAAAATAAAAATACACAGAAGCTGCACAAATAATCAGTAACAATTTAAAGTTGAGGTATAAAAATAGATTTAAAAAATTAAATTACCACAATGAGATTTCACTACATACCTATCAGGATGGCTAAAATTTTAAAAATAGTGATAATATTAATTGTTGACAAGGATGCAGAGAAACTGGGTCACATCCTGGAAACAACCCAGGTGTCCTTCAATGGGTAAAGGGTTAAATCAGCCATGGTCCATCCATAACTTGGAATACTACTCAGCAATGCAAAGGGACCAACCACGGATATGTAAAAAAGCTTGGGAATTAGGCTGAGTGATAAAAGCCAATCCCCAAAGGTTACATTATGTTATGATTTCGTTTATTCAAAATTCTTGTAACAACAAAATTATAGCAATAGAGAACAGATTAGTGGTTGCCAGGGTTTAGGGCTGGAGGTCAAGGGTGGAGTCGGAGGGAGGTGGGTGGGGTTATATAAAGGTAATGTAAGAGATGGTGATTGATATGCAAACCACATGTGATAAAGTAGCATGGAACCAAATAACACACACACTCACACACACATACACACAAGTACACATAAGAGAGGGGAAATTTGAATAAGGTCTGGGGACTATACCAATGTCAATATCCTGGTTGCGATTTGTGCTGCAGTTTTACAAGATGTTAGTGGAAACTGGGTAGAGAGCACATGGTATATCCCTGTATTCTTTTTTACCACTGCATGTGAATTGCTGACTCTCTCAAAATAAAGTGTTTAATTACATTTTGAAAATTAAATGAAACCTGGTATTCTCATGATAGACATCTGTTAACCTTCTGGGAAGCCTGAAAAAAGTGTTAAGTTCAAAGTGAAGGACAAAGGCGGAAGGAGGCTCGAGCTATTCCTTCGTGTGTGTGTGTGTGTGTGTGTGTGTGTGTGTGTGCGCGCGCGCGCGCGCACGCACTGCCCATGTGTGGAGGGCAGGTATCAGCAGAGGTTATTTATTCTGGGGATACCAGGGCAGGGTGGGGAGGGAACTTTCAGCAGTGGGGCTCTGTTCTGTACTAGTGATGAGACTTCTAGAGGCAAAGGAGGGGACACACAGCAGCTAACTATAGGACTCAAGGTCCAACCAGGAGTTTTTAACTTTCGTAGCCCAAACTTATGCCATTTGATAGAGCTAGAATTACCCCACCTGCTGGAACCAAATCTTTTTTTTTTTTTTTAACGGATTCAAACTCTAGAGAACAGTGGATTATCTTTGGGCGGCTGTGAAGGAGGCCACGTTAGTCACCATGGCTTTCCATTGTGCTTCTGTTTGGTTATCGAGCTGCAAGTACATTGAGACCCCCTTGGTGAGTGTATCCCTCTTTGAGAGCCGTGAAAAGGAGCTCTGGTTGGATTAAAAACCTGTCCTGAATTTGTAATTATAATATGACATTGCTTATTCAGATTAACTCATTTTTAGGATGATCCAAGTTAAAGAAAAATGAGAGCTGAGGAAGAAAGAAAAAAAAAGTGAGTGAGTCATGGCAGGCACTGGGGTCAGCTCCCTTAGCCTTGGGTGGGTTCCATG